ATATATATATATATATATATATATATATATATATATATATATATATATATATATATATATATATATATATATATATATATATATATATATATATATATATATATATATATATATATATATATATATATATATATATATATATATATATATATATATATATATATATATATAGTATATATATATATATATATATATATATAGTATATACATAGGATTATATATTAATATATATATATATATATATAAACATGTAGGCATATATATATATATATATATATATATTAATTTATTTATTTATATTCATGTGTACATATCTATCGGGTCTGAAGACATTTCGATCTCCTATTCTTTCACAGATAACAAACGAAAGCTTAGGCAGGGGGTCATTCTCTGTGTGTTACAAATGCTTAGAGAGGTCATCGGGAAAGTTCTATGCCGTGAAAATAATCAGCAAAGCCTCGCGCGTTGGCTCGCCCGTGGCCGTGGAGATAGAGAACTTAAGGAAATGTTTAGGTAAGCTACATGGTCTGCTCCAGTAGGTGATAGGATATGTTTAGGTGTGTAATACTTGTTGGAAGGCAAATGATGAGAAGTTGTGCAACTCTGGAGGATGTTCTTGGGTGAGAAGTTCGGCGTTTTGAGTAGAATTTTAGCAAAACCTTGCGTAGTGAATTGCCCGTGATCGCGAGCCTACAACAATGTTATAGATAAGGAATGTTTTGACGGGTGCCAATCAGGGACGTGGTCGAAATTTGGAACAATTTTCAGGTAAGAACTGCGGGATATGAAAGTGAATGGTTAGCAATGCCGTGCGCATGACGTGGAGGTAGAAAATTATATAAAATATCTATGTGAGTGCTACATATATTGGAGTGACAATTGGGAAAGTGGTAATCAGGAACATGTGTTCATAGTTTATACCTATCTTCCCCCCCCATGCGCTCCCCCGCCCCCGGGTACAGGATTCAAACACGTGGTTCAACTCCACGAGACGTTAGACGATGACGAATACGACTACATGGTTATGGAGCTCCTGAAAGGAGGCGAGCTGTTCGATCGCATCAAGAGTAAAACCAAGTTTACAGAACTCGCGGCGGCGGAAGTGATGGCCAAGATCGTGGAGGCTGTAAAGTATGTTGGGTTTTATATGTTGGTTAGTGATTTCTGTAAAACCAGAGAATTTTTTTTTTTGCAGAACTCGCGGCGGTCGGGGTGATGGCCAAGATCGTAGAAGCAGTATGGTATACTCGTTTAGATGTTGGTTAGTGGTTTCTGTTTGGCCACCAAATAAAAATCAAGTTTACAGAACTCGCGGCGGTCGAGGTAATGGCAATGCTTGTGGATGCTGTGGAGGGTGTCCCTAATTCGTGTCCCGAAACATTCAACAAATACCTTCTCCACGACATTGCACATCGTCATGTGCTCATGTATCATTCTACACGTTATTTGTATGATTTATATCATAAAAACACTCTCCTAATCGTCTCACTATCTGCGTTATAACAGGTCCAACCACGTCGTACACATATTGCACACCGCGACATCAAACCGAAGAATCTTCTCTAAATCATTTGATAGTCGTGTATTATATACATATTTATGAGAAATATATTATATAGGCATTCTGCAATTAGTATATGTATCGTTAAGCAGACTCACGTAAAACATTTCACTGTCTTGTTATAACAGGTACATCCATGCTGTACACATCGCACACCGCGACATTAAACCGAAGAACCTTCTATAAATCATTTGATAGTCGTGTATTATATACATATTTACGAGAAATATATTATATAGGCATTCTGCAATTAGTATATGTATCATTAAGCAGACTCACGTAAACCATTCCACTGCCTTGCTTTCACAGGTCCATCCATGCTATACATATCGCACACCGCGACATCAAACCAGAGAATCTTCTCTACGACAGCGAGTCCGATTCCTCCGAATTGAAGCTTATTGACTTTGGCTTCAGTAAATCCGTTGAGGATGGGAGTTTGCCACTTAAAACACCCTGTTTCACCGCAGCATATGCGGCACCTGAAGTAAGTGCGGTCTGAAAACCCTAAACCTCTAAATCATAAGCCCTACGCACAGTCGCTGTAGTTTGTACGGGTCGTAGGCTTATGCTTACAGAGTACAAACTCGTATATAACAATGTCACTGTACTTTGGTCTGTAGGTTTTACTGGCTTCTTCTTACAGAGTTAACGTATCATCTGCCGCATATCTGGTTCTCCACGTCGGCCCACCTTAGGATTCCGAACAATCGGCAAAGAATTTAAACGCTTTACGCCCGTAATAAGCACCCACATCCCAAATGTCACAGTCCCACATGTGTGCTACATTAAAAAAGCGTTCATGCCTATAATAGGCACCACATCTCATATCGCCCTTCGCAAGTTAGAGCGTCCTAGCCAACATGAACACGTGATATCTCCACATCGGGATGCATACCGTCAGGCTCGGAGGTACCACTAAGGGACGAGTTGGTTTACCTTCGATCTGATGAGTGTGCCCCAAAGGCCCTCCCGTTAAGTACACATCCCTCGCCTCGCCAGGTAGTGACGATATCAAATTATACGCGATAAGCGACTGTACGTTGGGTATCTGACCCCTGTCCAATAACATTACACATATATCTATAATTATACGCGATAAGCGACTGTACGTTGGGTATCTGACCCCTGTCTAATACCATCACAGATTTGTCTATAATTATACGCGATAAGCGGCTGTACATTGTATATCTCATCCCTGTCCAATAACATCACAGATAGGCCTTTGTCTACATCGTATCTATACCACCTCGCCTTCGCTTCGTCTGCTCAGCGTTCAGTGTTTGATGCGTATGTTAAAACAGCACATCTCAAACAAACCCATTCACAATGTCGCCGAGGAATAGCAAAGTCGGTGCCTGGCCGATTTGGGCCTACAACACCATCTGTTGCCTATCATCTTTGTTGCACCGGTTGCCTATCATCTTTATTGCACCGGTTGCATATCATCTTATCATCTTATCATCCTATCACCTTCTTACCTCCCTGATTATTTTCGGATCACATTTTTTAATTCTGGACCACATTTTTATAAATTTGGGTCATTTCAGGTCCTGAAAAACGACGGGGAATACGACATGTCCTGTGATCTGTGGAGTGTGGGTGTCATTATGTACACCCTCTTGTGCGGCTATCCGCCGTTCAATGTGCGGAAAAAATCCGACTCGGCGTTGTACGACACGATCGTGTCTAACGGGGAGTTCAAGTTTAAGGACGAGGACTGGAGAGATGTGTCTTCGGCGGCAAGAGTAAGAAAGAGTCGTGTGTGGTATTTGTCTTTGTATGTAGGGTTTAGACGTATGTGATATGCTTACTACTATGCAAACATGACGGGGTTGCTTCGATGTTCAAGTTGTATTTGTGTCGGATTTGACGTTCTACGACACGATTGTGTCCACCGGAGAACTGCGAAAAGGTGGGTTAACCGGAACGCGCGTCTGTAAGTGTTGTTTACTTGGTTG